AAAGCCGGTACGGCAATACAAGTGGGGCGGAACTGGAGGGCGGAGCCTCCCTGAGGACGGCCCACATCACCTAAGACTACCCGGATCAATGAAAGGGGCGGGGTCAGTCCGCTCAGCCAGGGGCCGATTCAAACTGGAAGAGGCGGGGATTGGCTGAGCCGGACTGGGGAAACCACTCAGCAATAGGCAGAAGTCATATGATTGGCAGGAAGAGTGCCCCGTGTCCAATTTCCATTGAGAAACGCTGTTTGGACTGTGGAATCTCAAGGATGGGAGGAGCGGTTCTGTAGGGAGAGATCGTAGCCTGCGGTGGGAAACAGGATTTCTGTGAGGGCAGTTGTGGACTCTGCCGTTGCAGGGTAGAGTTTGCGTCCGTGAGTGGAGTTAAAAATTAATTGGCCAAGGGCTTAAGGCCGAAAGCGCTAAGTATTCCTAGAAGCCTGGGTTTTGGTAGTCTTACTCCCTACTACCCCATCAATAAAATAGCGGAGTTTTGCAGCGCAATAGTCGTAGCACTGACCATTGAAGGACAGGGTGATTTTCCAATAGAAGTGACTAAAAACTGGGTGGGCGGAACGTTCAAGAGCGATAGACACACCTTTAGACCAATGACCAGGCTAATACCTGCAAGTAGGCGTGCCTTTTAGCTAAGCGACAGACAAAAGGAACCAATTAGCGACGTGATGTTTGAGCTTCTGCCAATGGAGAGAGCGGACTCTCCCGGGGAAACGCTGGGAGGCGGGAAGAGGGAAAGTGGGCGGATCTCCGCACACCTCGGCGGAAGAGGCAGATTCAGGAAGCCATTACGCAGCTGGCTGGCGGCGGCCGGGCGGGTCGGGACTGGGCCCTACGCACTTTGCGTAGCGAGGGGGGTTACCAAAGGCCTGGTGCTGGGCTTTAAGCAAACCCAGCCTATCCCCTGTAGGGGGTGGATGAGAAGCGAGGCTGAGGAACAAGAGAAGGAGGATTGGGACGGTTGAGGGTATTATAATTTCTTTAAAAAGAGGGGAGGGTATAGACCATGGCCGTCCCAGCCAAAAAGAGGAAGATGAACTTCTCTGAGCGGGAGGTGGAGATCATCGTGGAGGAACTGGAGCTGAAGAAACACCTGCTGGTGAACCACTTCAATGCCGGGGTCCCTTTGGCTGCAAAGAGCGCGGCCTGGCACAGCATCCTGCGAAGGGTCAACGCCGTGGCCACCTGCCGCAGGGAGCTGCCCGAGGTCAAGAAGAAATGGTCTGACCTCAAGACCGAGGTCCGTCGCAAGGTTGCCCAGGTCCGGGCCGCTGTGGAGGGTGGCGAAGCCCCAGGGCCCACGGAGGAGGACGGAGCTTGTGGGCCTGGGACAGGTGGTGGCAGTGGAGGCGGTGGCCCAACCGTAGCCCCCGTACTGCTGACCCCCATGCAACAACGTATCTGCAACCTGCTGGGCGAGGCCACCATCATCAGCCTGCCCAGTACCACAGAGATCCACCCAGTGACCCTCGGACCCACTGCCACTGCAGCTGCAGCCACGGTCACCCTGACACAGAGTGAGTGACCTCTCCTGCCCAGTTCAGCGTGCATAAATGGGAAGGGCCAGCGAGTTCTCGGGCAGCCTGGGGAAGATTGGCTCCAAGGGTCAAAGGTCAAATGGGGGTCTTGGAAGACCTTGAGACCTTTCAAAATCTCCCCAAACAGAAGTCATTATTCTCTTTGAGCCATCCTCAGCAGTAGTCTGGACTTCTGACGAACACAGAGCCATCTACTGTGTTTTGCCACCATTTATGTGCATGACCTTCCCCTCTTGCTGTACTGTGTGGTCCTTGAAGACAGAGACCACCATCATCAGTCCTATCCTCTATCTCCCAGGACTTATCACAGGGCCTGGCACAGAATGGGCAGCCAGGATGTATCTGTTGAATGAATAGATGGGATTTATAATGCTCTCAGGAGACATTGATCCTGGACAAAGACGTTCTGTGTTTTCAGTGTGGAGAACATTCATCAGGCACTCCTCAGGAACCTCAGGGTTCCTAATGTCAGTTTACTTATACCTTCTTTCCTTCATTCATTCATCAAACACTATCAGTTTTTTGTTTTTTGGTTTTTTTCTTTTCTGTGCTAAACCCTGTACTGAACACTGGTATCTATTGTAAAATATAGGCCAGTTATATTCAGCACAGCA